TCTTTGTTATATTACTAGATAACGTAGGATTGATGGGGCCACATGGAACTGATTTAAAACCTCTAAGAGGGAAAACACTCCCGTTATTTACAGACCCAGAGATAGCAGCACCTGATCTACTGAAACAAGCTGTCCAGAAAATGAGAACATTTAACAAGGACATGCACGAAGGACCTTATGTCCTTTTGTATCCAGACTGCTCAGAGGTGGTCCATGTGCCTGGTCAGAAAGACCATTTAAATTGGCAGTATAAAAAATAGGAAAGGCATATTCCAGGATTACTTTTTTCATTTGCCTAGAAAAGCACTTTAAAAGAGGTTAGTGGATCCCATAATTCAATATTTTAAATATTCAAATACTCTGCTGAAGGATAAATAATGGTTGTTTGATTTAATTTTTCAGAGTACGATACCTCAGATTCTGATTCTGAAATTGTCATCACAACAAGGAGCAGAGCTGAATTCAATCGAGCTGACACTTTGGTACATCTGTTAGTTCTTTTTTAAACCAATTATGTATGTTTGTATTTATTCATTTTCATATAATTTATTAGATTTATTGGATTTTAAGCATAACATCAATATCCTGATCAATATTTTAGTGAAAAAGGCTTGTTTTGATTATTTTGCCGTTACTATTAAACAGTAACACAGACAACCATTCAGCATTGATATACTGTGTCGTAATGTAAAAAAATGATGTAAGCTGTTGAAAGTTGTTGATCATTTTATCCGTTTCCTCTCAGGTTTTTGAACCACAAAATCGAAGTACTCCCAAATACAAACTGGAAGATGAAAGGTAGGTGTTGCACACTTGGACACAAAGGAACTTTCAGGCTTGCATGGGTTGAAATTATTTATTTACTTCTTGACTGGAAATGATAATAATAATTCATATTTTATTGGGCTACAGTGCTTTCACTACCAGTGCATTATCAAATCAATTCATTTAATTCACAAAACTGCTAAAACTACTAGGAGATATTTCACTACTTATTCACAGACACATTATACATACATTTATATTTCTGCACATAAGCTCAACGTTGCTACATGCTATCAGCCGTTTCTGTAACTGACTGAGGTGCCCCCTCGCTGCATACCTAGAGTACCCACAGCTGCCTGTGTGAGCTTTACTTTTAACATCACAGAATAAACCTACTGAAATACAGTTGCTCTTGCAGGTGAATAAACACAAATGACACAAATTAACCAAACCATTAAAAAAACACATGAGAATGAAGTGGGGGGTATCCACTGTGCCACATCATTTTGTTTCTACAAAGGTACTATAGGCCTTTATTGAAGTGGCACAGTCATCCAGAACAAACTAAAAGAACTCTGAAACTTGCAATACAAGTACTGTAATAGTTAAAAATAGTAGTTTGAGCTTTCTCTTATTTTATACCTTTTCCATTCAAAAAGAAACTCAAACAAACTCAGATTTGAGTTCAGGAAGTGCTCCTATCCACATGTTCTTAAGAAATAATTTATCTTAAATTATTTAAGTTGTTGATGTGATCAGAGAATTAGCTCGGATGAACTTGAAACAGAAAACGCCATATGAATGCGATTTATAACGAAATAATGTTTTTTTTTTTTGTATAAATCTTTTTGTTCCCTCCCTCTACTACTACATGTTACTCAAAACTGCCTTATAGCTTTTATCATGGAGCTAATCATTGTAATATGTTTTATCATGTTTCAGAGATGCACCAGGACAATCATCAACAATTCAGCCAGGACAGGTAATAAGGCAGACTGTGGCAGCATGACATTTCTTGCTTTCAGTGTTGTTGTTTAAGACATTTTAATCTGTTTTTCAGATAGTAATATCTGATGCTGAGGATCTGGATCCACCTGAAACAAATCCAGAAAAACCGTCTTGCTACAGGTAAGTAAAAAAAAAGAAGATAAAGACATGATTTAAATTTATTTAACTGATTACATGGGGAAGACATTTTTGTTTGTAAGGTGTTTTAACATAGAAATGGTAATTTCCCAACAGTAAATACACAGACCTGTTTTCACCAAATGTTGAGCAAGAAGACGAAGAGCCGGTTGCTGTCAATGTGACGAATTTTCAACACACAGCAATGTAATATGACAGCTTTTGACTATAGCACTCCAGTTTTTTCACTGTACAATAGTTCTGGTATATCCACAAATTAAGTCACTTTTTGTCATTACAGGGAGGACGGGCATTACATTACCTGACATCGTGGCAAACCTGTCACTTCCTATTAATCACAAAAAAGTCAGCCGGTTCAACATCTCAAGGGCTAACTTTTGGGATGGGGAGGTTTCAAGCGTACAACCTATTCTGAAACCTGTGACATGCTGGTGAAATTTACTGATGATACTGGTGTTCTGGAAGAGGGAATTGACACTGGTGGTCCAAGACGAGAGTTTTTGACTCTACTGATGAAACACCTAAAAGACCGGCCCATTTTTGATGGACCAGAAGGACATCGGTTCTTGGTCTACAATGCAAATGGTATGCATATTGGTTAGATGTGTACTATAGGCTACTAATGGTTGGTTAATGCTCATTGACCATATATATATATATCACATGACATATGCTTGTATATTACAGTAATGCATTGTTTGTTTTATTTTGCAATATGAATTCATTCACAGCTGTTAGGGAGGATGAATACTACCTGGCAGGAAAGATGATTGCTGTGTCAGTTGTGCATGGAGGTCCAGGGCCCCATTTCCTGTCGGAAGATCTTGTACATTATCTTGCAGGCCAGCCTTCATTCAAAGCAACAAATAACTTAATAACTGATGAAGAAATAGGGAAAGCTTTGCAAGAGGTGAGAGTAGCATAAGGCTAGGGTATGGTAGGGCAGAATTTTACATAGTTCCTGCAGTGTTTTGAGACAATGTTTACTTCCTATATCGCGTGCAGAATTTAATTAATTAATTTATTAGTTTTTAATAGTGTAAGATTACACCATGCTATGTATGTCATTAAAAAATAAGCAAGGAGATACAGTGCACACAGTTATTGACAGGGGTGTTTATGCCCATTGTCATGTCTTTCAGATTGAGAATGCTGCTTCATTGGATGCTCTGCAAGAATGTATGATGAGACACAGCACAATGTTACAGACAGCAGGTTGTCTGAGACATGTGGCTACTGTGGAAGAAAAGAAAGAAATCGTGTCAGACTACCTCCAATGGTATATTATTGACCGCAACTCATCTGTAATTAAAAGGTAAGATGATATTTGTGGTGATGATTTTCTTCTTTTTTTTATGTATTTATATACAAATTTTCTAGTTTGAAATGCCTCATGGTCCCCATCTTTGGTTTATGCAGGCATGTATATCTGTTATCAATTTGTCACTGTGACAGAATTTGTACCTTAGTGTATTTCAACTGATATGTGATGTTCCTTCATTCTGTCAAACTACAGTGCCTTCATTAAGTCTTCTCACCTTATAGATGTAATTTAAATATATATTAATCCTTTTCCTCATCAATCTACACACAATACATCATAATGACAAAGCAAAAACAGAAATTAGATCTCAGGATTCTCCTCCTGACTAATTCTTCCATAGAGGAAAATCAGTCCAGTTACTCATTAGAGTGATCTGAATCTATTTCTGACCCCAGTTCTCATAGAGATCATGACATGCAGAGATGTTTTAGTATCTCTTGTGTGTGTCCCTGAAAATCAGATATAAAGAGTGTGGTGATGTTGATGGGTGTGTAAAGCTGTAGCTTCATACACGAGGAATCCAGGCAGGAATTACTTCCAAAGGTGCTTAACCCTAAAACAGGCAACGTGACTCACGAGTCACATTGTTTTTATTGTCTTTTTTGGGGCATAAGAATGATTTTTTTCATCAAATCCTTATCACTTATGACAGCCTGGTCTGTCTTGAGTATGCTGGTCACATGATTTGCTTCAAATTTTTTGTGATCAATTAGTCAGCCTGACCTAAATAAAACATGGCTGCCAGTGGTGCAGAACAATCAAATTTTAGAAATAGTAAATATATATTAAACTAACTTGTCTCCTGGGGAAATTTTTTAAAATAATGCTGACATTAATTGTAAACATTGTATTAAGGTGCTGAAGGAGAAAATTAAGTAATATGTTGTTCATGTTGTTATTTAGTTGTTGTTGATGTTTTGAAATGTATGTGACTCCTGAGTCACGTTGCCTGTTTAGGGTATAAAAAAGGAATTACTCTAGCTCTATTTAAAATGCACTATTAATGATTGTAATTCAACAATGCTATGGAATATAGACCTAAGTTTGGTCTTGTTTTAACGAAAACAGTGAAAGTATGAAAATGTATGGAAGTTTAAACTTACATTAAATGAAATATACTATTTTTTTTTCATTTTTTATAGAATATGTATTTTAAAAAATATTTATTACAATAAAATCAAAGCCATATATATAACAAAGTTGTGTTCCAAATTTGAAGTTGATATCACAAAAATTTAAGTTCCCATGAGATTTTGTTTAGGCATAACACCAAAAATAGCCACCGGGTGAATAATTGTAAGCACTCTGCCATAACAAATTAATAAACTTATGTCCAAATATCACTTCTGTCACAAAATATGTAACCTTGAGACTTAGACCTTTCTGACAATGTGTTTTGTCAAGATAAAAAAAGGTTTTGATCATAAATTATGAAACATGACGATGCCCAAAAGGGGAGGAGCCCATTAAAAGAATTTAGAGTACCGTTTCTATAGTTACGCAACGTCCAATTTCAAAATGGGTTTCACAGGCTGTCTCGAGTTCGTAAGCTTTCGAATGATATATCATTTGTCAACATTAGATCTGGTGTAAACATGCAGTAACAGTCAACAGATTAATGACTTGGTCCTTTTTATACCCTAATCAGGCAAAGTGACTCAGGAGTCAACTCATAAAATCCAAAAATATATCTAATTTTTTTTAATTCTTTTGGATATGTTTTATTTAAGTCCAGATGATATAAAAATTACTAGAAATTATTTTTTGCTCAGCATTTTCCACTCTTGCCTGTTTAAGGGTTAAACAGCGTACTGAGAAAATGGTTCATTAACTTGTGTGAATGTGATATTTAAGTTTTTAATTTTTATGAAATTTGCTACAATTTCTAAAAACCTGTTTTTGCTTTGTCGTGATGATGTATGTGTGTGTAGAGTGAGGAGAAAAAGATTGATATTACTATTTGAAATTGATTATATAATGTGACAAAGTTTTGAAAATGTGCAAGGGGTGTGTAGACTTTCTGAAGGCATCGTATGAGTGCTCAAGCCACCCAGCTGTCTGTGTCATTCCAGTCTTTTGTTTCTGTGTTATACTTAGTTTGTAACAATTAACATTTAATGTGCAATGCAAAAATAGGGTTTCTTAAATCAATTTTCAACATAGTTTTTCCCCCCAAATGTATGTTTAAGGTGGATATTAATTGTAGAGAAGAGAATATTTAGGGCCCGAGCACGACCGTGCGAGGTCCCTATTGAATCTGCTCGGATTATTATTTATTTATTATTTATTTATTTATTTATTTATTTTTTTTTTTTTTTTTTTCTGCAAAGTAGGCCCAAATGACATGGCCTAAACATACTCGAAAACTCACCAAAATTTGCAAACATGTCAGAACCGGTGAAAAATTTCGTATTCTACAAGTTTCGCACATGGGCGTGGCAAAATGACTCGCTAGCGCCACCTTGAAAATTGGAAATGATTAGCCCCTCGTTCACGTTCAACCTACATGTACGAAATTTTCTGGGGACATGTATCGTATCAAGACGCACAAAAAAGCCTCAAGAACCCATAGCCTAAAGTCAACAGGAAGTCGGCCATTTTGAATTTTATGGCCATTTTTGGATGATTTACACACTTCGTACTTTAACGAACTCCTCCTAGGGATTTAGTCGGATCGACGTCAAATTTCTGCTGTGCCTTCTAAAGGCATTGACGATGAAAAGTTGTGCTATTTGCGCGTTTTCGTCAATGGGCGTGTCCGTGGCGTCGATGATTCGCAATGAAACAGGAAGTTGTTGTAACTTCAGTGTACATGCTCACATCTGGACCAAACTGTACATGTAGGATGAGAGTCCCGCCCTGAACACATGTACATGCCGACATTCACCCACAGTCATAGCGCCACCTGCTGGCAACAGAAAGTGACCTTTAACGAAGCAGCCCCCGCCGCACGTTTCACCTACGTGCACGAATTTTCTGTGGTACGTGTATCTTGTCCAGATGCACAAAAAAGCCTCTTGGAGCCATAGCCTAAAATCAACAGGAAGTCGGCCATTTTGAATTTTACGTCAAATTTTGGATGATTTACACACTTCGTACTTTAACGAACTCCTCCTAGGGATTTAGTCCGACCGACCTCAAATTTGTGCTGTGCCTTCTAAAGGCATTGAAGATGAAAAGTTGTGCTATTTGCAAGTTTTCGTCAATGGGCGTGTCCGTGGCGTGGCGTCAAAGATCAGCTCTTCGCCATGACACGGAAGTTGTCGTAACTTCAGTGTACATGCTCACATCTGGACCAAACTGTACATGTAGGATGAGAGTCCCGCCCTGAACACATGTACATGCCGACATTCACCCACAGTCATAGCGCCACCTGCTGGCAACAGAAAGTGACCTTTAACGAAGCAGCCCCCGCCGCACGTTTCACCTACGTGCACGAATTTTCTGTGGTACGTGTATCTTGTCCAGACGCACAAAAAAGCCTCTTGGAGCCATAGCCTAAAATCAAGAGGAAGTCGGCCATTTTGAATTTTACGTCAAATTTTGGATGATTTACACACTTCGTACTTTAACGAACTCCTCCTAGGGATTTAGTCCGACCGACCTCAAATTTGTGCTGTGCCTTCTAAAGGCATTGAAGATGAAAAGTTGTGCTATTTGCAAGTTTTCGTCAATGGGCGTGTCCGTGGCGTGGCGTCAAAGATCAGCTCTTCGCCATGACACGGAAGTTGTCGTAACTTCAGTGTACATGCTCACATCTGGACCAAACTGTACATGTAGGATGAGAGTCCCGCCCTGAACACATGTACATGCTCACATTCACAGACAGTCATAGCGCCACCTGCTGGCAACAGGAAGTGACTTTTAACGAAGCAGCCCCCGCCGCATGTTTCACCTACGTGCACGAATTTTCTGTGGTACGTGTATCTTGTCCAGACGCACAAAAAAGCCTCTTGGAGCCATAGCCTAAAATCAACAGGAAGTCGGCCATTTTGAATTTTACGTCAAATTTTGGATGATTTACACACTTCGTACTTTAACGAACTCCTCCTAGGGATTTAGTCCGACCGACCTCAAATTTGTGCTGTGCCTTCTAAAGGCATTGAAGATGAAAAGTTGTGCTATTTGCAAGTTTTCGTCAATGGGCGTGTCCGTGGCGTGGCGTCAAAGATCAGCTCTTCGCCATGACACGGAAGTTGTCGTAACTTCAGTGTACATGCTCACATCTGGACCAAACTGTACATGTAGGATGAGAGTCCCGCCCTGAACACATGTACATGCTGACATTCACAGACAGTCATAGCGCCACCTGCTGGCAACAGGAAGTGACTTTTAACGAAGCAGCCCCCGCCGCACGTTTTACCTACGTGCACGAATTTTCTGTGGTACGTGTATCTTGTCCAGAGCACAAAAAAGCCTCTTGGAGCGATGCCCTAAAACCAACAGGAAGTCGGCCATTTTGAATTTTACGTCAAATTTTGGATGATTTACACACTTCGTACTTTAACGAACTCCTCCTAGGGATTTAGTCCGACCGACTTCAAATTTGTGCTGTGCCTTCTAAAGGCATTGAAGATGAAAAGTTGTGCTATTTGCGAGTTTTCGTCAATGGGTGTGTCCGTGGCGTGGCGTCAGAGATCAAGTCTTCGCCATGACACAGGAAGTTGTTGTAACTTCAGTGTACATGCTCACATCTGAACCAAACTTACGTGCTTGATAACTCTCCCACCCCGCTATGGAGGACCGATCCTGACACAGTCAGAAATAAATACAGAAATAAATAAATGCTCAATAAATAAATAAGCATCCAATTAAATACACAAAAAAATTAAGTAAATAAATAAATGTAGGTAGTAATTAAATTATACAAGGAGACATAAATGTATATATTTTAATTAGTGCCTTTACTTATTCACCTTTGTTATAATTACCTTATTTGTTTATTCAACTTTATTTATTACTAATTTTTTTAATGTATTTATTTATGTGTGTGTTTTAATATTTTTGTCTGTTTTATTCTTCCTTTGTATTTATTTACCTTATTTATTTTCACCCATGGTATTTATTTCTGCCTGTCTTAAATTTTTGTATGCATTTCTGCCTCATTATGCAAATGAGGAGGGGCTGTGTCTCAAGGGGTCATCTTCTCTGCTATTGGTGGACCAGTCAGACAGGAGAGCTCCTACTCTGCCTGCAGACATAACGATCTTGCCCCTCACACAGTCAGATGGCTTCCTTCAGTGCACTGAGGTGTTTAACAACTCTGAAGACAATACTACCAGCAATGTCTTCCTTCTCTTTTCACGTAGAAGCACCGACAGACAGTGCTTTCAGTTTGCTGCATGCATGGACACAGAACTGCAGTATAGGGAGAAGCACACGGTCAGCTGGCTGCAGCTAAATCTGGAGTGCACTCGTATTCAATTCTGTATGGTAAATTCAGTTTTAACGGAGCAGAGCGAGCTGACAGGCAGAGTTAGAGACTTTTTCTGTCTGTTTCTCTCTTTACAAAGACGCATGTTGCAGTCAGAGTCTTCTCTGAGATGCGAGCACGACATACAACACAATTTATCAAATTACACAACGGATATACAGTATGAAAATAAGATTGATTGGATTATACTCACAGGAAGTATAAAACCTCTTACATGGGTCTATTAAAAGTAAAGTAACACAAAAATGTCAGGGAAATTACTTTACTTAGATTTAAGTACTGCAGTTGTACATTTGAAATACCTTCCTACCTTTCTGATAGGAAGCCTTCTTGAGGTGGTATAAAACATTTCTTCTTATATTCTGATTTGAGTTGTGGACAACTATGACCACATGAATTAAAAAACATTTCACTGCCCAAGTCAGCTATAACACAAGTCTTGATCATCAGACTACATGCTGTACAGTATTTGTGGACAGATTTTGTCCCAGGATTCTTATGCATTTCTTCTTCTTCGTTGCATGATTTAGAATAATAAGGTGAGAAATGGGTCTATTCTGAGTTCATCCTGCACTGCAGCAGCTAATAAAGTCCATTTAATCCCCAAAACGCTTTTCTTTTAGGCAGGCTGGAGCAGAAAACAACTCACCTTTCTCAAGTTGTACAGTAATGTCACATGTGTATGAAGGTGGATCAAACAAGCTAATCTTAAATGTCAAAGTAGAGAGGAGCCTAGTAGGCCTATTTATTTTCATTCATTACACAATATGAATAAGCTATGCAGACAGTTGTAAAGAAAGAACATCTTTTTCTTCTGTTCTCTACTTGTTATAGTTACACAGTATTAGGGGTGTGGGCTGTATTAAAAGTATCCACTGTTCTCCCATGCTCTAACACACAGTAACGATGAAATGTGTGCTGTTCTCACATTCTTCCTCTGTATGTACACATAAACAACAAGGCAGGGAAATATAAAGGAATTTATTTTATTGTTTGGGTACATTATTGTTCAGTGTACATGTTCACATCTGAAACAAACTTTACGTGCTTGATAACTCTCCCACCCCGCAGACATCTACACGTCAATACCGATTTATATTCATAGCGGCAAGTGCTATGTAGCTCCACATAGGGGACACAGGAAGTGACATATAGCACATTCATGCGGCGTCGGAAACGCGTAGGAAATTCACAGCCGCACCGGCAGAGCTCCAGAATATGCAACTCGGCCGGCTCACGCGCGGACGCGCTTACAAGTGCGAGGGCCCGCCCAACGCTGCTTGCAGCTTTAATTAATAGTTTTCTTTAGATAATTTAAATTCAATTGGCACTACACAACAGTTAAACGATGTTTTTGTTCACTCTGTAGATTCAGAGACGGTCTTTCAACCCTGGAGTTTTTGAATGCACTACAGCAACACCCTACTTTGCTGGCCCCTGTCCTGTACCACTCTGAAAGTCGAATCACTGCTTCTGAACTTGAGAGACTCTTCAAAACTGACCTCAGTCCTTTGGGGAGTAATCGAAGACTTAAAGAAAGTCAAACCATGGCCTACTGGGCAGACTATCTCCTTGATTGTGAAGGTTTGTTAGTTCATTTGTTTTGTATAACTAGTTAAGAAAACACATGGAAATGATGTATCTGAATTGTTTTTTTCTTTGCAGAAGACCAGGCTGCTGTGTCTGTGGAAGATGTTTTGATGTTTGCTACTGGGCTGTCCTCACTTCCCCCATCTGGCTCAGTCACAAATGGACTTTGGAATTCAAAATAGTCCAGGATTTGGCTGTTTCTAAGCTATACGATGGATGACCCCTAGAGTTAAGACTCTGAAACAGTTGTTGTTTAAGGTGTTCTTTAAAGGGATAGTTCACCCCAAAATGAAAATCTGTCAGTAATTACTCTCCCTCATGTTGTTCCAAATCCATAAGAATTTCGTTCATCTTCGTAACACAAACTAAGATATTTTTGATTAAATCTGAGAGCTGGATCACTCCTCCATAGGCTTCTAAGGGATCGAAACTTGCTGGCCCAGAAAAGTCATTAAACATATAATTAAAATAGTCTGAGTGACTACAGTGACTCAATCTTAAGTTTATCAAGCTACGAGAATACTTTTTGTGCGCAAAAACAAACAAAAATAACGACTTCATTCAACTATTAATTTCCTTCGCTGTGGGCCTCGAGTGAGTTTGCGTAGTGTAACAGCGCAGCGCTTCTGTTGTACGTCACACGCATGACCAGCGTGAGCCTACGTGTACATTTGTACATTATGAAAATGTTTTAGATCCATGACTCTCAAACTGGGATCCCTTTGTGAATCACTTGTTTTAGATAAAGAAACAAGTGTAATAAATGCTCATTACTATTTTTGACTCATTTGATTAATTTACTTCACACTTAAACAATTAAGCTTTGAGTGACAGATTCATAAATATTGTGTTCAGACAGGCAGCAGTGTTTCACCTCTTCAAAAAAAACCTTTTTGATCATTTCATAGCTGAGCCATTTCTTTTAGTTTCATATACAGTTCTGATGCAGACTCCCAGTTCTCCGGCTTCTGTATCTGATTGTGTTCCATGGCAAAGTCCAAGTATTCCTGCATGTTTGGGTCCCCACAAGGAGTCATTGACAGGCTGGCCTCAGGAAGGGCATCCAGTTCAGCCTGTTCCACTTGAAATCCGCAGTCTCTGGAGCCAAACCTATGTTAAATAGAGAACATAATTGCAGTTCTTTTCATCTAAGTTAAAACATTATATTAATACTATGATCTGTTTATTACCTGTGTGGTAAGTAGTAGAGTTCATTGGGCATTCCTCCTGGACATGCGGCTGTTCTGGAAGGGCGAATCCTGTGACTGTTCCACAGTCTCACACACTCATCCAGTCCTTCTGAATAACATCACCAAAGCAATATCTCAATAGGCACTGATGCTCATGACTCCCGTTGAAGTATCCAGCATCTCTAAGGTCTGCAAATAACTCCTTCCAGAATGGGGATGACACCGAGGTTTCGCACACATGACATGAAATATTGAGCAATCACTGTTGGGTTATTATTTGTTGGTCCACATTCAAGCCACAATACTTTACGTGAAAATCCATCTATGCATCCCGAAATGGCCAAACCGAATGGCTTAAGTTTGTCGTAACCATCTGCGTGCCACATATAGTTAGGTCCCATTGAGTGATAGGTTCTTCTTGTAAACCTTCTGCGTACTCTGCTCTCACACCCTCGGGGATTGAGCTCCCGGAGGAAATTCATCACATCATCTCTCTTCACTCGAAGATTGTACTTTTGTTTAAGTACCTGCCACATCGTGCGGTAGCCAAATAGTTGTCCAGGTCCACGAAGTTCAGATCTGATGGCGTTACTCACAGCGTTTGGAGAGGAATAATCCTTTCTGCGGTACATCCCGGCTTCGTTCAGTTTACTTTTAAGAGTCCTCAAGCTGATGTTTACACCGTGTAGACTTCCTTTAAAACGTCCTTTAAAAACTCCAAACACCGACCACACGTAAAGCAAAACCGCGTTAAGCTGCTCATGTGTTTACCACAAAACGGGCAAAACATCCCTCGGTCGCAGTCCATGTTCGGTCACCAAAAACTTCCTAACTTCTGTAAAATTCCTATATGCTTCATATTCACACCATATTCTCCACATTGAAAACACGAATTAACCGCGCTCACCAACAACACCTATCACCCGCGTTCACTCGTCACTTCCGGTATGTGGTACATTCCCTTTCCGTGAGGGATCGATCGTTTGTAAATTTGTTTCGGGACGGGTAAAAGTGTTTTGCGTCTTGCTAATTTGTTTTCTAAAATGTAAATTTGTTTTGTCCTTGGTAAAAATGTTTTGCCCTTGGTAAAAGTGTTTCGCCCATGTAATTGTGTTTTATGGTAGGGTAAAAATGTTTTCCAAAATGTAACTTTGTCTCAAGCTTTGTAAAAGTGTTGTTAGCAGTGAGGGAATTCTCGTGACTTTAGCCTACAGTCACCATATTATCATATGCAATGGGACTTTAGAGACTTTGTGAAATGGGCATATTCAAATGAAAACACCAGAGTGATTTGGATTTTTTGTGACTTTAAGGGAATTTCCACCTTTGGTTCTTGTAAATTTACCACTTCATCAAGGATTTTTTTTTCTTGGATTATTAAGCCCTGGCTAGGTATTTTGTGCCACATTATATAGTCAATCTAAAAAAGTATAATTAAGTTAGCATGTACAAATGGGCTAGATTTCAGAAACTGAATGAAATCCAAAAATTTTATCAAGTGGTGTGTTTTAGGCTTGCAGATGTGGTGTGTAGTCCACATATACAGGGTAGGGTAACTTTAAGGTAACCACGAAGATAACTTGCCCAGAGCAGTTTATAGAGTGTAAATTGCCATGGCAGCAGACCTCAGGTAAAACCCATCCACTTGGTCTCGTGAACGACCCATTTCCCCGGGAGATCCTGGACCGACGCCAAGTCCTGTTCCGATAAGAAAGAAGCTTATTGGAGATGGATCATGGGCTGTCATCGCGGTGGTTAAACTTTACGTTGATGGCCAGCTGTACTGCAACCGAGACACCATTCCTTGGCTCTACTAAGAACCAAATCCAGCAACAGGTGAACTGTATCACTATGCGATCATTTTTTCCCTCTTTCCTTCTCAGTGACATACGACAGGTTAATGGTTATAAAATACAGTGCACATTTCAACAGTATACTGTGGTTATCTGTCTAGACTGTCGATAATGTTTTGTGTATTTTCCTCTGTTTTTGTTTCACTGTTTCTTTCTTTTGTTAATGTTGCTCTTTCGCTGCTGTTTACACGTTGATCAACTGCGCTATTTTCATACTGTTTAATTCATAAACAGTCGGGCACACCGCTAGTACACACATAGACACACACATACAGGCGCATACACCCACCACACACAATGATACTGCACACTCTAGCCTACACTACATCCCTTAGTTGAATGATGACCAGTTCATCTCTTGGAATGGAGGTAGTTCAAGGGAATTTTAACCATCTAAATAATCTGCAAGCAGACATTGTCCTACTATAGGAGATTCCAAGAAAGCAGATAAACTAACCTCACCACAGTTTCCTCACTCATACTCAGCGAGAGGTATCACCATTATGATAGATAGAAATAAATAAATAAATAGAAAAACACACTTCAATCATAATACCTCTACTATAAATCCAGAGGGTCGATTTTTATTGTTAACATTTCTATTCAAAATACCCATTTATGTATCGCTAATATCTGTGGCCCGAATGTTGACGACCCCTCATTTAATATTGCTTTCTTCAACTCACTCTCTGCTCACTCAGACACAGCTCTTATAATAGGAGAGAATATACCTTCTTTTCACCAGTCCACCACTCATATTCTCGCCTTGACTATTTTTGGTTAGCAGCTCAATTATGACAGACATTTCCAACACTCAGATTCACCCTATCACTATCAGTGGACATGCACCGGTTTCTATCACTCTTACTAAAAAAGGGTAACACGGCCAACTAGAAGTTGGAGACTTAATCATTGCTTGAAGATCTAGATTTTATAAGTTATTTAAAAAAGGATAGGGCAATAAATATGAGGAACTAATGATCTGCCAGGCAGCAAAAGCAGTCATGAGAGGTAAAATAATCTCCTATTCATCACACAAAAAAAAGAAAGAGAGATCTTGTGAATTAGAGCTAGAACAAAAAATAAAAACTGCCCTTGCTGCCTCCCCACAGGAACACATGCTGAATGATCTGAGAAAATTAAAACTTCAATTAAATGAAGTTATTGATAAAAAGACCCAGTTTCAGTCGCAAAGACTATGCTTGGAGAACTTTGAACATGGCAATAAATCCTCCTTAAAGGACTCAGCTGGGAATATGACTCATAACCCAGAAGAAATCAACAATGCATTCACAGATTTTTATAAAAACCTATATACATCACAAATTGATCCATCTAACTCTAACATCGATGCATTTCTGAACAATGTAGATTCGCCAAAGTTAGATGATGAACAGATCAGGGCTCTGGATTCACCTGTGTAAATGGCTGAACTCCAGGAAGCTCTCTTACATATGCCAAATAATAAAGCCCCTGGGCCAGACGGTTTTCCAGCTGAATTCAAAAAGGAATTCTGGGAAATACTTGCGCCCACATTCTAGGTTATTAATGCAAATTAGGGGTACTTGCATGTTGTCTCCAACAATGAACTCTGCTAATATCAGCCTGCTCTTTAAACCAAATAAAGATCCCACACTCCCGTCCAGTTATCGCCCAATATCACTTATTAATGCAGATCTTAAAGAAGCTCATGAAGTCGTAACTACTGAGAGCTATGGGAATACTTGGCTCAATAGAGCTGTGACTCTCTGTCAGCCTGGCTACAGTGCTGAAAAGAAACCTGGGGTTGTTCCTATTTTCCTCTATTAATGACGAGTAGTACGCTGCTCTGGCATTACGGAGGGCCTTCCTATAAGTTTTAAGACTATCTTGCCAGATTAAACGAGAATTTTCCAGTTTGGTGGAACGCCAATTCCTCTCAAGTTTCCGCGATATTTGCTTTAATTTGCGAGTTTCACTATTATACCATGGAGCTAACCGTCTTTGTTTTATTATTTTCTTTTTTAGAGGGGCTACAGAGTCCAGTGTCATTCGCAACAAGATGATCGATTTGGGAGGGACTGAAATTAGCATTGGAGTCCTCCGTTACTTTGTGACTTGATAATGAATTTAGAGCTGATGGAATCGTTCCTGTCTGGATGAGTGTGCGGTGGCTCTATGCATGCTGTGCATCCTGATTGGTTGTTGGATGGGTGGGGGACCGTGGAGATGGGGTTGACGGGGTGGGTTGGGGGTGCGGGCTGGTCCTTTTTGAGCTGGTTGGTGGGTGTTTCGCCTGGATTTTGGTGCTCGGATTGCATGCTTGGTGGCTGTACAGGGATCCTATGTGGGGAAGGATTGTGCTTTGGGGTGTGTTGATGGTTGTTTTGTGGTCGCGTCGCGGCCCTCTGGATCGTGGTGGGTCCTAGGGGCTGGGTGCATCTGGTGACTTCTTGGGGCTGAGGGGCTGTTGCTGTTGTCGTGGTGTGACTGCTGAGGGGCGCGAGGGGTGGTGGGCTTCTGGCCTGGCCTGGGTGGCCTTGCTTCCTGGGTGTGGGTGGGGCTTTGGGTCTGGGCCCTAGGGGTGGGTGGGTTGGCAGTGGCATGGGGGTCTTACCTGCCTGTCGCTGGAGTCGGTGTGGCGC